GCTCAGACAGCACCACTGTTTTCACTGACAAGCAAAATGCACCAGACTGGGAGTGATGCTGCAGCCTCCTGAAGTCCCAAAGTAAAACTAGAACAAATTTTATAGTTAGTACAAAAGTGAGCAATGCAGGAGTAGCAATTAGCAGGTTTAAGTTTTGTATTATTCAGGCAGCCAAACTAAGCGATCACCAGTCTCAATGTATGAAATAGACCCCTATGCGATTGGAGGATGGCATAACACACAAGCTTTTCAGAAAGTTTAAGATGTGTTTGGGTTTGAAGTTTCATATCTCTCAGTTTCAGGCCATGGACAAATAGTTCATGGTTCTTACAGATGGGTTCTGCCCATCAAAGGTTATTTTTGGACATGTACATAAAGACATTTGTAGTTTAAAAGAAATCTTAAAGTTGTAATGAAAGAAATCTTAAAGCCCGCACAGAAGAAACTAGGGACGCTTGAACTGCCTGTGTGGGCCATAACAAAAGCACATGGTGATAGCAGGAAGTTTAAAATCAGGTTTTGGCACTCATGCCCAAGATTGTCAATTGCTTCCTTCTTTTTCCTTGTAAATCATTACCGAATTCATGCATTTCCTCCTTGGGCGGAGTTTCTCAGTTCTTCACAAACACTGCCCCAGTGTTCCTTTTGACTTGGTGTAGCTTTGCCAGCTGGTCTATGTTGGGGCATAATCCCATCAACGTGATCCTTGCAAAAGGCAGGAGCAGCATTATCAATCTCTAGCAGTCTTTTCCCTTTTATAGTAAAATGAGTTGTGAAAGGACCTACGAACATGGGATTTCTCAGAATCTCCAGGAAACAGGTAGCCTCTGATTTGGTGATCTGTAGCCAATAATGAATCACAGCGGATGTAGATCTTTATCTGGAATTAAAGTTGTTTTACAACCTTTATCATAAGGGAAGAGAAGAACATTATCTGCTCCTTCAGCAAAGTTCACTCATTATGTGGCAGAGATGGACTTCCTCCTCTTAGCTAAGATTAGCACTATCACCTTGTAAAGTAACTTTAGACTTGGTATAATTCAGTGAGGGTCATGAAAACAGTGTCTTCCCTGGGCGAGAAACACTTATGCCCTTGTATTAACATGTAGTCCAAAATTTCAGTAACAGGATGGAGTTCTGGCAAGTGAATTCTGTGATCACAAATTAGATTTAACCACCTTTGTATTTTATGCTTACCAAAGCCCACTTTTATGATGCTATGAAAAAAACAGGAGCAGTATGAAGAGAATCAATACAATCAGACACACAAGAGTATCAAAGTTTATGCACATCTATTTAAAGTAAAAGAAATGGTACAGAATAGTTTGAAATACTGTTGCCTTTGCCACCCTGAAAATGCTTGCACTACTTCAGTGACACAGCATATTCATAGTCACAGCAAAACTCAGCCAAACAAAAGATATGAAAAAGATTATTTAAATGTGTTTTAACCCATCATGAACTACTTTGATATTTCATATCAGAAAAAGTTTATGTGGTGAAAGTATGTCATATTATAGATTATTTGATTATTATGCAAATCACTGTGCATAAAGAAAAGTATTCATTCTTCATCCTTGAGCATTTCCTGAAATTTAATTTGGAACCTAATTTGCATTCAATCAACATTTTAAAGCACTACTAACTTTCTATTTTGTTTGGCTACATGATTTAAATCATAAAAGCAATTTTTTGCTTTTAGAAAAGGTGAGAGATGGGAGAGTGTTTTATGCATCAGTAGTATATACACAGATCCAGCCATTGATGCACCTTCCTTCCTGCACTTGACAACTCTGCACCCTCATGTGCAAGGCTTGGCGCTAAGAAAGACCTGAGCCACAGTTACTGTAGTGAGAGAACTTGTCAGTCGTGATTGCTCTCTTCTCTGTTGAGCAGTGCAAGAAGGGAAGTTGGGAAAGAGAGTGTGATGGGTCTTGTACCTCATCTCTGCCTATATCCTCTCCTACATGCGAGATACACACCAGTGATTGTAAGCCACTGGTTTACAGTGGAAAAAGACTGTGTCCAGATGAACATATTATATTAGAAGGGGATTTAAAAGAATTTTTCTAAAAATCTGTCCCAGAATATAGGGAGTCTGGGATTTGGGGAATGTAGTGAAGTATGGTTTGATTTTAAGAACTACTCAAAGACAAATTTGCACAGGATCCACAGTATTTGTTAGGACTTGACTTAAATGCATCCAAAACAGAGTATTAAGCAGAAAAACTTACAAATGGCATATTCTAACCTAGGCATATTGTGATACACTCCTAAATGCATTCTTACACAACTATACATGAAAGAAGAAGTGATAATTCAAAGAAAGACAGTGACTTTGCTTTGAAGTAGGCGAAAAGTATTCACACAGCCAAAGCTGTGACAGACAAACTCTAGCAACTCATCCTGGAGTGTTTTACAATGCTGTTACCCCCAATTAGTCATCTCTACACTTGTGGTTGCTCCCCTAAGCAGCTAAAGAGCTGTACTCATGTCAATCATATTAGCTTAGATGCCAGTTTTGAACTGCAGTGACAGAGTCTTGGACAAATATTCCTTTCTAATATCTTTGGGGGTGGTAACATCCAGCCCTGGGACAGGACAAACAGCTGTGGAAAAGAAACATCTTAGCAGATGGCTATAGCTGTTGGCTTCAGTGCACATCAGTCAGCAACTTCAGCTATAGCTCAGACTGCCTTGCAGCTATCACCTCTCAAGTGCTAATTAGCATCTCATGTGCGATCTGATATGTGACTGCTAACATTATGGATAAACTTAATATGCACTAACATATCCTTTGTGATGTGTCAGTCTGAGATCATAACCATAAAATGCATCCTTGAAATGCTTTAAATATGGTTTTCAAAGACTCCAAAATCTGGGTCCTGCTGAAAAAAATGAGTTGTTTGTTCTGTAAAAATTCATGGGATTTCTCTCTTCTGCTGAGGCTTAAAGGTTGCAGAGTTGAATTTGAAAGAAACATGACAGTCTGCAAGAAAGGTGACTCCAAATTACCCTTGCTGTCTTCATGGCTGGTTCAGTGAGTTGTTCATAATTGTCCTTCTGGGCCAATTCTTGAGGATGTGTGTGAGGTTAGTCCAATATTCAACATGTAGGGGTAATACAGGGCTCTCAGAAAGGAGGTCTCTCTCCATACTAGTCTAAAAGGTCCTCCTTCTTGAAAGTTTGAGTCATGACTGTTTCCTCCCTAATTTTCTAAGGGTGTTCCCAAGTAGAAATTTCTCACGCTATTACGACTAGAATACCACAAGCATTCCCTGATCACATATGTTTCTTTATATGCTGACAATTAAATTATTTTTCTCAATAACTTTAAGCTGAAATAATTAGAAGGTCTGTTTAGAAAATATATTTTTCATTCATCTTCTACTGGGCATCCACCTGGGTCATGCAAATCAGGAAAGCTGAAATTTCTTGAAAGCAGGTGATTATGTTCTCCAGGTTTCTTCCCTTGCTATCAACATTAGGAACTAAACATGCATAACAATACACTGCAGCATCTTTGACAGTCCAAACCAATCTCAAGTAAATCTGAAAAGCTACTATATGCTACATCAATATGTAATTAAGCTCCAGGTTTGTAGATGTTGATTTTCATATGTGCTTTTCACAAGAATTTCAGTGCCAGGAACTTGTGGGTTGAAATACTTCATCTCATTTGCACTAGTATTCCTATCAAGATAATCAGCATTTTGGGTATTTTGAATGACTGTCGGATTGTAACTGTTGTCACAACAGTGAAAATATCTGATGATAGATCAAATCTACAGATTCTTAGGAATAGCTCACACAACAGCCAATATTTTCTAGTACTTTGAGGAAATAAAAATCATGTAGCAATTTTCATGGTACATTTATGATAGAACTTGAAGCACTATTTTAGCTTATAATATATAGCTAATATACATAAATTAATGCATATTCATCTCAACCGTACTGAAAACACACTGAACAAAATAATCACTGAATGTTTCTGTGTATCCTGAATGAGGAATGTACTGTCAAATCAGCTCCACAACTGAACAAAAAATGGAGGCTGCTAAAGTTTCCTGATTCCTCTTCTACGTGGAAACATCTACTCAAATGGAACAGTGAATACTCAACAAAATAATTCTGTTTCAAAGAAAGAATAAAATAATTTAGAGAAAGGGAGCACAAAAAGATCACTTGTTAAATGTAGGTCAAAAACAAAATAAAAAATTGTCAGTCTAAGAACTACTAGTGTCTCAGGCAGCTTGAATCCTGAAATGTGTTACAGATCCACAGCTAAAAAGAACAAGCTAAGGCCTACTCAGACCACGCTATACTTAAGGAGTATATAGCAATACACATGATTTGGAGGAGTTCTACCAATACTGACCAATGCCAGGCTATTGCTAGCCAGAATTTCACTTTTGCCTATCAAATTCAGCTGCTGTTGCTTATTTGGATCCCTTTAGATGCCTACTAATTATTTACCATTTACTAAATCTTACTGAAGCCAAGTTAGGATTTAATCTTTTTTCACTCACTGTTTCTTGTTTCCAAAACAAAAATCAGTGAAGCTTGCATGTTAGGTTCATGGTTCGATTAGGTTCCTTTCCTAATACAGTCTTAAATTTGTAAGAATGGGATTATCTAGAAGTGCTGCATCAGATAGTTAATTTCAAACAGTTAAAAATACTGCTTTTCAGTCCTCCCTTTCTCTTTTCTATACACAGAACACACATTCACAAAGTAGCATCATGTTACTTTTACTGAGAGAAACCAGGAATGTCATCAAAGCAATTTCTTTCTCAGAAAACAGCCACAGTCTTTGGACAATGTATTGACAAAAACCTTGCTATGCTTCACTATAATGTGATGCTGAGTACTTGTGTACTTCAAATCTTTGTGATGGATAAAAAACCTAAAACCAAAAAATCTCCCCCAAACCCAACTATATTAATTCCAGTGAAAAGAATCTTTAATAAAAAATAAGATTTTTAAATTACACTTACCTGGAACAAAGCTTCCCTGGACCACCTCCTTATAAGCCCACCAGCCTTCATGGATTTTTGGTGAATTTTGTTGAGCTAGAAAGAAATAATCAAAGAAACCATAAAATTAAGGCAAGGCATAGGAAATATTTAATTATATAAGCTTTGGAAACTCTAAACAGCGTATCATCTTCTACAGAAGAGCCATTCCTCAAGTTCCCAAGTGATGTTTATTCAATATATTGAATTATGCTATGCATCTGTATCTTAGAGGACCTTGTCCCTGTTTCTCATTCAGTAAAACATACGCAGCTTCTGAAGAACTGATCACAACTTAAAAATACAGGTAGAAAATCAGGATCTTCAGCACTGCTGATGGTTTCTGTGCCACCCATAAATTCATTATGGGATAAAAATACAGAGAAAAAGAGTGCGCTCATACACAGTAGCCAGTATTTGAGTCCAAGCTGGTGGACTGAAAAGCAGTTTCTCCCCTTCCTTTCCTAAGTTCTCCAACAATCTCTCACTTTGAATGGGAAGAAGTGACAGAATGAACGACAGGTAATAGCTGTGTCTATAACTGCTTCTCCTCTCATCCCTCTGAGTTCCAAAACCGGAACAGAAATGCATAGCCCATAGCTTCCCAAATATTGGCTTATGCTATAATGTTGAGGCAGGAATAGAAATATTTTCTGCTATCTTCTCTGTCTGCAATATAGCACTTGCTACTTATTCCCCACCGCAGTCATCCTGGTAGCTAGGCAAGATGCTTGCTCCTGTTATGCGTATGTGACATGCAACTCTATTATGGTTGCATGTGATAGCGCAGTACAGTTACACGATGAAAGGTTTCTTTGACCAATACTCTGAAGGCTGTAACAATAAAAATCTAAGGTTTGGATAAGGTTTGCCCCTGATGAAGACTGTTGCTTAAATGACATCTCTAAATTCCTGAAAAGCTAAGAGCAGAAATGTCTTGATCAATCAGTTTGCTGCTCATAAGGTCATTATTTCTCTTTGTCTTGAAGGAAATCAGAACTGGAGCAAATTTTGTGGTCAAAATGTAACATCTCTGTTAATTGGAAATACTTTCAAAGGGCATACAGACACACAGCAAGACAAACATGCAGTTGATTTCCATAAGATAGCAGATCAGAGCTGATATGCAAATATGTTCTGCCTTCACTTGTATTTTGCTTGATATTTTCATATTTAGAGCAATTCTCACTGAGCTACGGAAAGCTCAGCTACCTTGTGTATCATTAACTTAAATCTGGGGTTGGTTCTGTTTTATAAGATACTTTCAATCTCTTGCACTAGGTCCAAGAAATTTTTTAACATAAATACGCAGCTACAGAAGATGCTGGATTTACCAGCTTTCTGCTGCAGTTTCATTTCTAGATCACATATTATATACAAAAGACACAATTACCCTGGGAAAAGTTCCAGCAATGTAATAAAAATTGTTGTTGTCATTAAAAATTACAAAGAGGATGTGACATTCAGACTAAAAAGGATACAAGATGAGGACCATTACATACTGTTCTATCAGTTACAAAACAATATTTATGATTTAACTGACTGTAAATTGCAGAAACAAAAGTAAAGCTGAAGTTAATTAAACATACTGACAGAAGGACCAACACTCTGCTTTTCCAGAAATCCAGACACACCAGTGGAATGGGGTATGTGTGGATGCAAATTTCTCCTTGCAGAACTGATGCTCGTTCCATTAACTGAATGGTGACACGTTAAACTGAAAGGACTATTCCACTGTGCACACTTTACAGTTTGCAGATGACGTTATCTTCATTATTTTAGCTTTCATATCTTTGCCTAGAGAACTCAAACCGTGTATGGCTTTGTTGTGCTGGACTGCACTATACAAACATTTGGAAAATGGCAAATCCCAACCCACAATCTAAATATCTGAGCAGCAAAATATCCATATCCAGTCTGAACTGCAATTTTTTGCATCTCAACACTGGTTTACGCAGGTTGCTTTTAGGCCTCTATGCTCTGCAACAGAAGTCCTTAAAGATTTCAGGATGTCCTTAAAGACTTCAGCAAAAGGAGAGGATACTAAAAAGTGAGTCCCAACAAAGCACAGCAATCATTCTTCTACTAAATATTTCCCAGAAAATTACATTGCATTAAAGTGCACCTTGTAGTAATATACACACCTAAAGCTGGTTCAGCCAACCAGGGGCAGCTGCAATTTAAAAGTCGGTGAAAAAAGAATGTATGTAGATAGAGGCAAGTTAAGAAGACTTCAGGGAGGATGGGTATTTTCAGATGCAACTGCTTACTGTCAACATTCATAGAAACATGCACAATCGAAAAATGTATTGCTTTTGCCCACTGTGTGGCCAATCTAAATGATACATGCCAGGTTCAGAAGAAAAATACAATCCATTATTCAGAATTTAAATTAAACTAAAATCACAAGATGCTGGCTCTGCAGCTCTACTTCAGTGTGTTGCCCCAACACTTAGTAAAGCTAATTCTAAAAGGAATATCAGGAAAACTAAGATTTTTGTCATATTTTTTCAGATCTGCTGTATTAGTATAGAACAGAATGCATGAGATGAGGAAGCAAATTAGATTATCAAAGCTTTGTACTAAATAATTGGATGCCTGTGCAGTTGCTTCAGCTATCAGAGAAGAGCATGACCTGGCATCACTCTGCACATTCCACCGATATCAGATCCTTACCTCTTCAATACACATGAAAATGAAACACATAAAAAGGAGTACAATAAGCAAAATAAGATGTACCATAGCCATATAAAATACCTAAGATAGGGCAAGAGCAATGCTGGGACTACTGCTGATTTACAGAAAACTCAGGCCACTGAGGAAATCAAGAGGAAAGGCAGGTGGTTGTCATGAGAGAGCAGCTAGGGACACAATCCCCAGTGCCATACTCTTTCCTGAACCCTGAAACCTCACTGTTTTATACCAGTTCAGGCAAAATATCCTGCAAAATAGTGCAGAGAGTGACTGAACACAGATTTCCACTCTGCTGTGCATATAAAATCTAGCTTGATGCCAAAGATTTACTCTGATGGATCCTACAGGGACTTTGCTTAGAAAGGAAGAAGATTTATAAAGCTTTCATTTCTCTGAATGTAGAAGGAGGGGGTCTGTAAGGCCAGGGAGGAAAGTTTGTCTTCCAAAAACTTTTCCTAAACCATTACTCCAATCTGCGTTACGCAAGTGGGCAAGAGGCCTTATTAAAGGAGAAAAAAGCTGTTCTCTATTTTTGAAACATAATCAGACCCATACCTGGATTAGTAATGGAACAAGGGAATACAAAATTAGAATGAACAGACATATGGACAATCCTTGCTGGGAATCCTATCTGGGACACTTACACCTGATGCACACACAACACAGGGTCTCTACAATTGGTGTATCAATGCCCATCTGACAAAATGGCATTGTGCCTGGGTAAACAGGTTCAACCTTATGGCTCAGGAATTGTTGCCAAGGAAAAGGATTCTTCATATGTGCCACCTCATGACACTGAAAATAGCAAAATTCTCTCAGCTTCCTTCTTATTTCAGTTAAAGTAAAACTATTATACATCTCATTGCAATTCTTCCACTTGAGGACCATAAAAAGGGACGTGTGCTTACTGTGTGGATTCTGATACTCCTATGTTCCTACCAGAACACTGCAGCTCCTCCATGGCAGCTCCTTTTTTTGGCATGACCTGTCACGTAAGATACTGAGGAGACAAAAAGTCTAGAAAGCAATTCTGTAAATCCCTAAAGAGGGTTAAATATCTAAAAAAATTATTTCATTTCTGATACCTCAGAGATTTCTGCTTTTACCACTAAAACCAAGAGTATGTCTTTTGCTTCCAAGAAACATTGTTGCTTCTGCAAGGCATCAAAATAAACAGGCCCATCTGAACAGACACTTCGCTGTTAGGAGCAGATTACCTGCACAAGTAGCTCTGCAACAGCAATTTTTAGAATCAGCATTGTATTCTGCCATTACTAGGGACAGTCCAAAATGCCACGTTTGGCCAAAGTGCTAGAGGATATTGAATGACCTCCATTTGCTACAGCATTCTCTCCCTCGGTACTGAAATCACTAGTATCTGAGATTAGTAGCTCTGCTGATATAACACCATTATGTCAGATCCCTTTCAATGCAGCTGTTGTAGAAGAGACAGGATATTTATTTGGAGCTGATATGACACGTGTTGCTTTCATTTTGTCAGATTATTGTAGGTATGTCTCATTGTGGAGCATAAAATTACAGGCTAAGTTCTGCAAGATGTTGTGCATTTTTGTTTCCTAGCGACTTCCACATATAGGGAAACAGCATTGTACAGGATCATAAAAATGTACAGTAAATGCAAAGAGCAAAAGATGCCAATGCCCCATAAAGTCAGCAGTTAACTCTATCTAGCTTAGAGGTTAAAATGAGTAGGCTTGTGTTTCAAAGAGAAGCTGTTGTTCAGTCAGTAAAACTATTTTAAAACCATCAGATAACGTTGTATCAGATACCAGATACCATGATGCAGATGCTGAAATATCTGCATCCAATTTGCAGCGCAAAGAGGTCTTCATCTTGTTGGAATGCTAATGCTGGCATAATATAAAATGCTGTAATTAATACAAAATACCCATCAGTTAATATGCTTATTTGCAAGACATAAAAAAGTCATTCTACAATTAATGACTTTCTATACTTAAATAAAAGATAGAAAGGCTAGTATCCAATGTCATAATTTATGTCATTCACATCTGAGCATAAGCCAAGAGCAGAATCCTGCCAGATCAGAATTCTCCATTCACTTTACTGCCATTTCACACAGACAAAAAATGCTAGACCGTGGAGAATCAGTCTCACAGCAGTTTGGAAAAAAAATCTTTTTTTCATCTGAGTTTTATTGATCTGAGGTCTTCTGATTGCTATATTAATCACTCTGCATGCTTATCCCTACTTAACTTACATCCTAAGAGTCTTGCTTGTGATAACCTGGCTAGTATTGCCCTGGCATTAAATACATGACAATGTTTTTATCACTGTTACCCTTTCTGCATAGTTATGAGATTAAAAAGAAAGCCAGCTGCAAC